GAAGGGCTGCCCTCCGCCTGACCTGGCTAATCCCACCTCTGCTTTGGCTCCCCCCTATCCCCAGTGTCAGAAACTCCCTACCCTTTGATGATTCCTCCTCTCACATGTGTTTGAATATTTTACTCTTGCCTTTCTTTTGCAGATGCTCAGGAGTTGCCCATTAAAAACAAACCAAAACCTCTCACCCCACCTCATTTCCTCCAGCCACCTCTCCATTTCTGTTCTCTTTACCGGCCGACTTTTCACAAACGTAGCCTACTTTTGCTGGTACCGTTTCCACACCTGCCACCCCACACCTCAGCCCAGTGACTCTGGGCTGTTGACTCCATTACGCCACTGGAGTGGGTCTCGCTAAATCCAGCCCTCCTCTTATGTGGGCTGCTTGGTAGTCCGACACTCCTCCACCAGTCTCTTAAGGGTTGGATTTCTCAAGGAGAAGGTCCATGGCCCTCTCCTCTTCCCATTTTATGGCCTCTTAACGAATAGACTCATCCAAGTCCTTATGTCAGTTATTACCTATATAAAGATGTCTGCCAAATGTATCTTCTCCAGTCCAGTCACTGAGATACCAACTGTTTTTCCATCTTCTCTTGAATGTTTCAGAAGCACTTTAACGTCCTCGTGTCCAAGAATGGCATCGTCATCTTGAACTTCTGTCTTTTTCAGAGCTTCCCCTCTCAGTGAATAGACAGTATCCAGTTGTACGTGAGACACCTTAGAGCCATCCCTGACACTGCCCATATCCAGCCCTTCATGAAATTTCTCCTTTTCCTAACTAACCCTCATCCTCTCTGGCCTCCTTCCAGTCTCTTCTCTTACTCCCCAGCCAGTCGGCTCTTTTCAGAATGTTCCCATCTCTTGTAGGAGCATTAAAACTGACCTGGCTGCTCAGGGCCCCATATGACAATCAAGGTCAACCACCACGACACCAGACCCCGCTTGGTCTGGCCACTACTTAACGTTCTGCCTCATCTGGCGCCAGGCTTGCCTAATTCTTTGCACTCCAGCCGCATGTAGTCCTCCCTCCTTACCATAGACTTCTTGCCGTAAAGACTTTGCGTGGCAGGTCCTCTCCCTGAATATTCTTTCCTCTTTTCACTGACTTTGCTTCTCCTCCTCCTTCAGACCTCTGCTCAGCAGTGCTTCATTCTCAAGGAAGCCTTTCCTCCAGTAGGGTGGATCAACCCTCCCCAAAAGGCTCTTACAACAGCATATTTTTATGACTAGTTCTGTGCGTCCCCCACTGGACAGAAAGCTCCACGAGAGCAGGGATGTGTCTGCGCATCATCGTAGCCCTGTAGCCGGGTACAGCATAGATGCTCAGCACATATTTGGCATCCATCAATTAAACTATTCCAAAGGAATGTCTTGGGCAGAACAGGAGGATCACAGAAATGCCTCAGGTGCTCTGGATGATAGAAAATAGGATAGTTCCATCTGCAGCTGGGTAGGAGAGGATTGTGAGGAGTCCCGAGGCCCCTCTAGATCCACACTCCTGGGGCCTCTGCCAGCGTTGTAGAGCACAGAGCTGGTGAGTGACTCATGCTGCAGAACCGAGACTAAAATACCTCCATCGCCCGTACCTTCAGACCTTGGAATTCTCATTGATGTAACAACTTGCCTGCAGTTTTTAGCCCCGTTGTCCACTCCTTGAAATTCTCTCCTGCGTTACTTTCTCCCATATTTTCTAAGCTTTTGTTTTTCTTCTCCCACTGAAAACATCTTGGCACCTCTTCCCATTCATTTGTTCCATCAGAGTACTCATTCCAAAATTCAGCTCTGCTCTGGCATGCTTCCCTCTCAGGGCTCCCATTTCTAAGGGGATAAAGCCTGAACTTCTTGGCACGTCTTAAGAGGCACTCTGATACTGCCAGTATCTCAAGTCTCCTCTCCTGCCACCTCCCCATATGTCCCCTGCACCCGTTACACCCAACCATTTGTGCTTTTATGCTTTTGTGCTTTTGCCTCCGTCTAGAATAGCTGCCAAACTCCACTTTCTACCCCTGCCTCCTTGCCTACCAACCGTTCACCGTCTTCGTGCTGGGGGAGCGTGCGCTGCTTCGAAGCAAAGATTCAGTCACTTACAGCCCGCTCAGACCTCCCTTCCACCTCTGTGTCTCTCTCCGTGGTAGGGCACGCAGTGCCTGGCAGGCGGTAGCCCTGTAATATTTGGAAAACTCAACGGTTCTTTTACCTTTAATGACACATGTAAATACTAACCTGAATGCCAAGAAACACTTGGGATAAACCAGAGCATCATGGGATAAGCATTCCCCCTTGAAATCAGTAATTGGTAATTGAAAAGTAAAATGCGACAAAGTTTATTACGTAAATAATCTCCATCTACTCTGAATGTATTTTTCCTGTCTCACAGAAAAAAAAAAAAAAAAATCCGTTTCCTTGACCCATCCTCCTAAAGTGGATATCTAGTCATGACGTGGTAGTAAAATGTTGTGTCACGCTTTAAAATGGTAGCTCCATGGAGCGCCTGGGTGGCTCAGTCGGTTAAGCATCCAACTTTGGCTCAGGTCACGATCCCACAGTTCGTGAGTTCGAGCCCCGCGTCGGGCTCTATGCTGACAGCTCAGAGCCTGGAGCCTGCTTCCGATTCTGTGTCTCCCTCTCTCTCTACCCCTCCCCTGCTCACGCTTGGTTTCTCTCTCTCTCTCAAAAATAAACATTAAAAAAAAATTTTTAAATGATAGCTCCACCCTGAAAACTTTGAGGTACTCTTGCTCTTGAGGAGATTTTTCTTCCTAAGATTCACAAGAGAAGATTATCTGATACCAGTCAAAATGTATGTGTTCTGAAGCTGTGCATTAAAGTACCTTTTCCTGAGTTGTTATGAAAGCCAAGCTTCAGGGCAATGCAAGGAAGCACTAGAGGAAAGGCTGTTGTTTTATGCATTTCCAGCTGCAGAAAGTAGTAACACTTCATGTGGGAGTGCTGTATTCATTCTAGAATTTCTCCCCTAGAGGGATAATAGGACATTGCTTTTTCAGCTTTCAAAGGGGTATTACAGACCTTCTCTCCCAACACAAATACCGCATTTGACCTCATTCTGCTCTCACTCCGTAAAATGTTTTCCTTGGTGTCATAAGAATTATTAATGGTTCTGTTGGTGACATAATTTCCAATAAAGTTTTCAGAAGGGTTTGGAAATCATTATATGCTTTCCCTGGGATTGCTAGATGTGAAGGAGAATTAAGAATTAAACTGCTTAGCTTTGGCAGGTATCTGATTCTGAAGTGCATTGTACTGGAACTATGAATCAAAGGATAGGACTAAATAAACACTTTCCTCGGTTTAAGAAAAAGCGTTAACACTGTGATCCCCAAGGATTGATGTAGGGATTGCTCTTTTGACGATGATCGAAGAAAGAGAGTAAAGAATAATTCTTAGCTCTTCTAGGTAAAAAAGTAAAATTGGCATAAACTGAAAGAAGGTTCTAGAACATCAAGTGAGTGGGCAGAAGAGGAGCAGATGGGACCTCATTTTCAATCAATTCAGCTCTTAAGTAGTTCTTCCTTTCTCCACCTGATGAAATGTCGTAATGTTCTTTTGAAGGGTCCATTCAGCCTGATTAATTTCTTATTTCTTATCCCGCTAAGCTATTTGGTTTTTAAATGTGTATTTCCTCTCTCCATGTGCATATATCATATATATGCGTGCATAAATTATTCATGTGTTTAAAAATCTGCACAGATTTCATTTTATAATCTTTCTCTCATTTGCTCTCATTTTTTTCCTCCTTTTCAATACCTTTCTTATTTTTAGACCTTTCTTATTTTTAGACGGGTCATTTTGTGGTAATAATGTACTAGAATATTTATTGTAAAATATTGACAATTTTATTGAAATATTTTATGTAACTTATTTGCTATTTTTAGAATGAAAATTTTTAGAATGAAAAAGCTCCTCTTAGGAGCTTTCTTTTGAAAACTCAGTAATTGCTTAGCTCCCAAACAGAGAGAGTTAAAATCTACTCTCTACAGCCTTTTATGATTACTAAGAGGTATTATAATCTGCCTTTTAGTGCCTATGGGAGTTGGAGCTTTTAAATGATATTGGTGTCCCTTGTATTTATAGCCTTGTCTTGACATCAGCGATCTTACCACTGAAATGATGGCATAAACTTTGACAGCTATGGTTTTGTTCAGTATATTTTGAAATATACTGAAAAATGATCTCTTGACCATTGCTTGATATTCATGTTCGATTCTTAAAATTCAGTTCAAATCAGTTAAAGATTTAATATTAAATATTCACAAGAGAAGTATTTGTTTTAAGCCTGTAAATATACATGACTCAGTTCATGAGCTAAGGCATGCATTTTCATAAGGTCTCTGGAAAATAAAAAAATATTTGGATTGCATAAAGATGTTTAAAATTCACGTTTCATAGACAAGTTACTTGTCTGGACCATTAAACAGTCTTCCAAATAAAAATGTTTTGTTTTTTGTAAAAGGATAACCAATTTCTTCTTTTCCTGGTGGAGACATTAACCTATATTTGGGTCCTTTAGTTGCTTATTTCTCTTAATTTATTCCCCCTTGAGTATTTATTATCTGATATTTTTCTGACCTGATTTAGAAGCCCTATCTTATTACTGTTTTAAAACAAGCACCAAGTTTAGCTGGAAACTGTTTGCAAGATAAATTGGCTTACAGGACTAAGACGAACACCAGCAGATTTACTTTCTCGTGTTTAAATAAAGTACTCATTTTCCATGAAGTAACAAATTTCACTTGCCGACATGATTTATCCAAATCTGAAGAAGAGAAGCAACTAAAAAAAGGATTATTCGAATTTTAGATTTGCAGTGTTTTTGTAGGGAAAGTAATGTTTTTAGTTATTTCATTTGGATTCTCAAAATGCTAGCTTAAATCAAGCCAAGCAGTGGCACAAGACAGTGGCTCCAAAGTTCGTTTACATTCCGTTCACATAGGAAGAGATGACCCACAGCTCAGTGTTCTCCCTTTACTCAGTCTGTGACGAACATGAACTGGGTACCTACTGTCTACCCTGTGTGGGGACACGCAGATCCACGCTCACTGTCTACAAAGAGCCCTCGGTCTGACTGGGAGAAGCATGTAAACAGATACTAAGGCAATTCAGGAAGAGCAGTGTTCGAAATATTCATAGGACTGTGGGGGCACTTATCCGGAGCCGATTCCTGAGTTTAGAACTGCTGGCTTGAACTACTGGTGCTGAATGGTCATTTCACATTTGCGACATAGAACATTAGAGATAATAGTATTCATATGGAGAAGGATATTATGTGAACTCTCCCTTTTTTCAATTACGGTTTGAACTTCTATGTTGAAAGTTGAAAATGTTTATTACTGAGGACTTTGTACTTTAGCCTGATACCTTTAAAAATGCAATGCATTGACCTGGTTTTTAAAAGTAGATTTTATAATTTCACCAATTCGATCATTTACTTTGGTCGAGCTAAATTTTGTTTTGAATTTTGAAAAGAGCCCAAGACTTAAAATTTGCCATATCCAGATATTCTGTAGTTGACCGTGATTATTCAAGATGTGCAGAGATCTTCAGAAAATTATGTCGATGCAGAAATAACATGTGATATGCATGGAAATCCAAATCTGCAAAAACCGACTAGTTGCACAGCTATGGAGTTTATTGGGAGGCTCTTTTATAACGGAAATCTCTCTTTTATTATGATGACTAAATGTTCAAATTATGACCTAGTCAACTTTTTAGGAGAACACCTATTAATTTCAGTAGTGTTCATAATAGTACAGGATAGATCTGTATTATATACTGCACTTTGTATTTTGCTTATTTGGTTAAGGAGGGGTGGCATTTAATTGACTCAAAATGCCCCCATATGAACCTGGTAAAATCTTTCCATTAGGTGGTTAGAACAACCACACTAACTTACCCATTTGTAACTATGGTTGCCGTAGGGTATCGTAAGTTTTGAGAGAAAATAAAAGGACTAACCATTAGCTCTATGTGATAGGCTGGTCTCCACGGTCTAGTCTCGATGTTGTGGTGCCTAGACGAAGTCTGGGTCAGTCTGGCTTATTGTACAGTACTTAGCCTGTGACCAGTAGCTACCCTGCCAAAGCCTAACATAGTATTAGAGGTGCTGACCTGGATTTCTTTCAGTGGGGCCGTTATTGTGATGTCAAACGTTGTTTTCTCTATTCTGTTACCTTTTGGTTTATAACCTGGCCTGGTACTTACAAAGGGGTTGTAGGGGGGTAGAGAATAGAAATCCCTACTATGTGAGTCTGTTTCTTTCAGAAGGGTGATACACACCCTCACACCCTTCTCCATTTTCAATTCTACCCGAGTTGCTAACAGAGGCCTTGCCATTGGCCTTAAACTCTCTTCCTAGTTTGTGGGTCTTCAGACATACTTGGAATAGGTCTCTTGCCATAAGGGAGAACCTCTTAGGAATTGAAGGACTGGTAAGGTCTCGGTTTAACCTTGGATTTTTCTAGTTTCAGCTCTAATTAAACACAGACAACTCACTTGACCCCTGTCCCCCCCTCTCATGACCAACAGAGCCACTGACCCCACCCCCCAATGCAGTCACTATCAGTCTTCTGAAAGGAGCAAGAGTGAATGGAATTCAGTCAGCACAAAACGTCAGCGGGGATGAGTTAGCTAAGAATCCACAGCTCTAGCTAATCAGAGAGAGACAAGGATACCGAGGCTGGAGCACCCACTCTCCCATCCACCTTCTGCCACATATGATGAGAGTCTGGAGAGGTCCAGCCTACAGGCATACCCTGTGTCTTCTGAACTTAGGCACCTCCTTGTTTTTACTACCTCTGTCCCTGATCTTTGTCCCCGTTACTCACCTAGAAGGAGCAGAAGAAAGCGGAGCTAGAGAAAAGATGCTGATGTAATTTTTCTAATTAAAAGTGTTTTTTATCAAGAGGGTTTTTAAACCGTAAAATTAAATTTGACTTATGTTTTTAAGTTCTGTGGCTCATGCAGCATGATAACCAAATAGTGTGAATGTTGTTAGCGGTGACTACTTCCTAAAGTTAAATTATAATTTCTCAGGCGACCATGTGACTGCAGAAGCTTGTCAGTGAGAGCTTAAGTCTTCTAGGTTCACCTATAATTTGAAATCCAAACAAGCTTATATCTCAAGAGTATTTCTCTAAATCCCTTTGTATTCATATTCCTACCAAGGCATGGCCATCTTGGAAAAATGTCACACATAAGTAGAATCTGGGGGTGAAGGGGGAACTTTGTAAATTGTAAGATGGAAAGTAAATAGTCTGACCTGATTTCTGATAATCCCATATTTCCGTCTGATGGTGAGTGATTATCCTTTTTAGTTTCCACCTTTAGGAACATAGTGATCTTAAGCAATTATCTACCGAGTCTCTTTTCCATGTCTAGTCAACAGTGATTTATTGATTTTTGACCATAGAGTAAATCAGCTTGTGCTTATGAAGATGATATAGTGCCAGTGAGTCACAAAGTCATCTACTGATTCTCATTCACTCTCAGGAAGAAGTACTATGTAGTTTTCCTTCTCGGGGAAATTGAGTGTTACACTGCTTTGTGGCCATTTTTTGAATCCTATAACATTAAGATTTGACATGACTATTTTTAATTGACTTGGGGTTAGACCATGCTCCTATTGGCTTTCAGATTTAATGACATAACAGGCTTCAAGAAGTGAGCAAATTCAGTTTTTCTGGCTTGGAGGGATCCAAGCCCCTCTTCCCCATTCCATATTCTCCATTCTGTCTTTTCCTTTTCTTCTTAGAGTCTCTCTCATAACCAAAGGAGAAATTTTGGGACTCATTAATTTATTCAGTAAATATAATTGAGGAATTATGTGCCAGGGTAAGCACTGGGAATGCGATGGTGCGCACTTTAGACATGGCGCCTACCTTTTCACAGAACTTAGTCCAGTGCAGGGGTTGGGAGCGAGTGGTGGCTTTCCATCCATCCTACTGCCTGTCTTTTTGTAAGTAAAGTTTTATTGGAACACAGCCATACCCACTCATTTATGTATCTGTGGCTGCTTTTGCATTATAATGGCAGACTTGAATAATTGCATTGGAAACCCTGTGGTCTGCAAGGTCTGAAACATTCACAACTTGACCCTTTACAGAAAAAGCTAACTAACTCCTCCTCTAGAGGGTATGGTGAAGAAGTAAGTGCAGGCTGGACCCTGAAAAGCTTTATTAACCTGGTTAAAGAATATAAACTCTCCTGAGGGAAGTGGACCAGCAGTGGAGTGTTGTAAATTGGGAAAGTAACATGGTCATATTTGAATTTTAGGAAAGTCACTATGGCTGCTGTGTAGAATAAATAATGAAGAGAGACAGTAAGTGCATGCATTAAAATGAGAAGCACTACAGTAGAGTGGTTAAGAGCATGGACTCTTGAGCCAGACTTCTCGATTCACATTTTGGCCCTACGATGTACTGATTCTGATGTTAAGTAACTTCGCTG